AGGGCATTCGATTAAGAAGATAAACGGAATCCGTAACTACATCTGCCCAATAGGCATGAGGAGCATGAGCTCCAATTAGAAGAGCCCATGTAGTTTCCAAGATATGTTTGTTCTTACGTTCTGCCACACCATTTTGTTGAGGAGTTTAAGGACAAGTAGTCTCGTGAAGTATGCCGTGCTCTGCGAAAAATTATGATAGTTCAAAATTAAGATATTCTCTACCATTACCGGATCTTAAGACTTTAATAGGAAGAGAAAATTGATTTTCAATCATTCGATAAAACTATTGGAAAATTTGTCCAACGAATACCGTGGCGCATCGCTATTGGTAAGGGACCCCATACATCGGAGTGAATTAACTCAAAGGGCACTGATCTTTTATTGAGACTCAGGTGGTAAGAATTACGATGACTTTTTGCAAGAATGCAATCCTAACACTGAAAATCAGAGTCTGAAACGCCATTAAATAAAGACGGAAGTAATTTTCTTGAATAACCAAAAGATGCATGCCCTAGTCGACGATGCCATAACCAGATTCTCTTAACCTTGTTGTTGTGACCACTGCTCACTTGGTTGACTCGGCCCAGTACCACATCATCCACATAATATAACCTTCTCCTCTTAGTACCGCACCCAATGATCGCCCGTGTTTGGATATCTTGTAGTAGGCAAAAAGTGGGAAACATGAGTACAACACAATCTAATTGTTCCGTAACTTCACCAACATAAAGTAAATGATTCGACAATGAAAGAACAAGAAGAGTGTTATGCAGAGATAGAGAGGGAATAAGTGCGATGGAACCCGCTCCTGTAACTGGAGCAATTTCACCGTTTGCTGTGATAACATTCTCTTAGGTGGCATAGTTAAGTGGTGAAACAGGAATGCATCATATGTCATATGATCCGTAGCCCCGGAATCAATTATCCAACTAGAATCTCGTTTACTGGATGCCGTGAATGCAGTGCCAATTTTACTTGGATCATCAGATTGTTCTTGAGAATTAATTAAATTTACAAAGGATAACTCCTGGCCGAAACCGTCTGGATTCGGATCACTTGTAGTTGTACTGCCCAAATCATGGTTGCTTGCTGACGGGCACGACATACCCATAATTCCTACACTGGTGTTCCTGACGTCAGAAACTGGCCCCGCTTATGGGTCAGCGTATGGTCCAACGTGTGTGACAGCATGTTCTGCCAATTGGCCGACTTGGGTTTGCGCTTGATAATCAGCCATGGAAGAGACTGTTGGCATTTAGAGTCTAACGTATCTTGCTTCAAGACACTAGCTTTGGTTTTCCTAGGTTTTGTTGTTTAGTAAACCTTTCTTCTTTCAGCAAGATAAGCAACAATGTCTCTTGCTTCGAGACAATTGCTGGAAGAAAAAAATAATTTCTTTTGGGTTTTAGAGACGTGGCTGGAAAAATTGTTTCTTTTGGTTTTCAAATGCAGCAGCGGCAAGGAGAAAGAGAGTCACGTTCGGAATCTGCTCCGGTACCAAGATAAAAGTGTTTAGGATTTGAATTGTATGTTTATTCTTCTCTCTATGAAATAAATATATAGTTGTACAATATCCCACATAACAGAAAATAAAAATCCCAATTATAGAAGGAATAAATTACAGGATTACATTCCTAAACTAAATGGTTGACTCATGCCAACAGATCTATGAATCGAGACTTACAAAATAGATGGTTTAGATCGTTGAAGTTCGATGTGGAATGATCCTCACACTTAAGTCCCTATTTAAAAAAAAATGAAAATCCCTTTGCATAAAGGGCATATATATATATATAGAGAGAGAGAGAGAGAGAGAGAGAGAGAGAGAGAGAGAGAGAGATGGTGCACATAAGAAATAGTACTATAAAAAATTTCAGCTCAAATCTTTTCTAGAGAGAGTTTGAAAAATGGTGCATTTTATTGCCTTATTTGGGCGGTCAGTTGGGCATTGGGAGCATTTCTACTAAACAGATTCGTGCTAGTGGTCAAAACCATTCTCTTCTAAATTTCACGTATACTGATTGTCATTTAGAAGACACATGGGTTGTGGGAAGACATCATGAGAGAAAGATAGAGAGAGGACAAAAATGGGCTATGGCCTGCCACTTAGCTTGCCATGTTTAACCTTATAATTGACTGATTGCCTTGAAGGAAAGTGAACCGCAAACAAGAGCTACAAGAACCTTACATGCATGTTAAATACTTTAATGAACCAAGATTAAACATAGAAAAGAAAGTCCCATAAAGTTCCATTCTATGTTTTGAATCTTTGATAGTAGTTGCGAACTTTCACACAATACCATTTTCTCCTCGTACCCTCCTCTCTCAATTCTAGGCTTGAAGGTTGAATAGATTAACGTAGAATTAATAGATAAATGGATGGTGAGCTCCCTAAGAATGTAGGACATTTCCCCTTCAGATTTGAAAGTGGACGCTTTATGTCCTATATCGGCTTCTCAAGTGGTGAATAGTCTAATAGTTAGGGTGTTCCTCTTCAACTCAATGTGTCTTGGGTTCCAACCCTCTCCTTAGTGTAAATTAAAGTAGTAATATCGCTTGTATTAAAAAAGAACCCTGTATTTTTATTATAAAAAGTAAAAAAAAAAAACAAAAATGGGTAGAAAAAGGGAATGAGAAGTAGGGAGTGTGAAAATTGGTAATTACTATATGAAATCAAGGTTTTAAAAGACACTAGGCGCCAGTCAGCTAGCGGACTAGGACCTAGACCCTAGGCGGCTAGGCAGACTAGACAGATTTAAGTAAACTTATTATATATCGTATAAATAAATATTTGTTTATACTTAAAAAAATACATAATTGTATTGAAATACATAAATTGAAAAATACAATGACATATAGATTTGAAAGTATTATAACATATTGGAAACATAGGGAACCAGAATATAATGATTGTTCATCCTAGCATTCAACAATGCTCTTACAATTTATTTAAAAAAATAAAACGCAAAATGAAAGTTATATATTTTCTGTTTAAGTAAAAATCGCAACCTAAATGAGTACCTAGGTAGGTATAGGCGGACTAGGTGAGCGCCTAGACGGACTAGGTGGTACCTAAGCAGGTCTAGATGTTATTTCTTAATTTTCAAACATGTAGGGATTCATTGAGGTATTGGCCAGCAATCTAGCATCAAGGCCATGCTAGACAATTTTTAAAACAGTGTATGAGATACGCAAAAATAAGTGGTAGACTGAGATTCGCACATGAGAAAGAGTCTTAAGATTAACTAGCATTGCTGCACACTACGTGTGTGAATAGTTGAGAGAGTGGTGGTGGTGGAAGAAAGCTATGAGGATATATAGTTTCGAGCAATTGTTCTTTTTTATGAATAAAACAGAAATTAGTTTTGTTCTGGTTTTAATAAATACTCATGATTTAGTAACTACTTTTTTTTAGCTCAATTATGAAGGGTTAAAATGGTATTTTACAAGGATTTTGGTAGATAAGGAGTGTTGGCTTAATAAATAGTATAGATAAAGAGAGTTATTGATATGCAATCACTGATTTCAGGATTTCATAATGCTCCAGCAGTTTCGAGTTAAGATTAATGATAAATCATGTTATCAACTACCTCACCAACCGAATAAGAAATACAATGCAGAACTAAGTGCTTGTTAATGTTCAATCATGCTATTGAGGAAGGCAACAACACTGCAAAAAATTGAATTTGGAACTCTGAATGCAATCAAGCCCGTTCCCGAAGCCCCTAAGCGAACAAAAAACTAAGCCCAATGTACTGGTGAAGAGGCCCATGTTTTCTTTTGTTACTTTCTCTCGTTATGAAACCATGGGTCTTCACTATAAAATTAAAGAAGGAGGATTCTCTCCCCTCCTAATCTCTCCCCTTTCTTCATCTCGTATTTGAACGGTTACGGTTTAACTACGTCAACATCTTATATTATTATTCTTTTATAGAGATAATAAGACAAAAAAAAAATATGTGAGAGGAAGAGAGGGAAGGGGGATAGGAATAGGAGGAGTGAGAATCCTACTCCAAAATTAAAATGGCATAAAATGAATTTTTGGGTTGATAAAGTCTGGTTAACTTTCAAGACATGTTTACTTACAAAGAATATGAATTGAAATCATTTTGATTCTTAAGTTTCCTGCATTTATTAGAATATGAGTAAGGGAATCACTTCACTTCTTTAAATTTTCCTCGTGTTTACTTAAACGTAAAGAATCGAAAATTGTAAGTTTTCTCTTGAAATCTATAACCAAGTACTTAAAAATCAAGAATCATATCGACTAGAGGGTACTAGTATAAGTAGGAAACATTCATCCTCAGCAAGGAAACTTAGTTGAGAGAAAATCAACTAGGATCGTACTACAAGGTAGCATAGCAGTAAGCATTGGGGATCTATGTGATCTTGGGAATTGACTTTGAAGAAAGCTTTTGGGTTCACGTGAAGAGTTATTTGAAGAGTTAGGTTGACTGAAGAATTACCTTTTTTTTTTTTTTTTTTTTTTTTAATGTTGAGATTGAATTTAACAAAGATCATGAGGTTGGAGGCCTTTGCTTTTGTTTGTAGTGTTGGGGAAGCTTCCTCGATCTTATCACACAACGGTTGATGGTAGATGGCTATTTTGGTTGGTGCACTATTTGCAATTTGTGTTGTGATGTCACCCGTCTATGCATTCCACCGTTCGTACGATATCATATCGCATAAAGGCTTGTTAGCTGACGTGCTCCTCGTGGCAGGGGAAGAGCGAGAGTCTTGATATTGGTAGGATGTGCGCGGTTTGGTTAGGTGTGGTTTTGAGTGAAATCAAAATCAAAATCGCAAGTTTTTACGGTTTGATTCAGTGCGATTTTGAGGCTAAAACCGAAATGAAACCAAATCATTTGATTCAGTTTGGTTTGGTTTCAAACGGTTTTGGTTTGGTTTGATTGTTTGAAAAAACTATTACGGTTACCTAGTTGATGACAACAAAATTCACATCCACAATAACCACAACAAAATAATTCAACTTGAGGCAACTAAGAGCACATCAATTCCGATGCCAGTACCGCAAACCCAAGCATAAAAAAGATTCTAATAACTCTGGTTTTGGTAGAACCTACCAATCAAACTATGAAATTTTTTTAATAACAAAAGTTGGTAGATGTGTTTTAGTAAAGTCGCAAACACACAGAAAGTGTAACATAAAGAAAGTCCCAGTAACTGCAATTCTGGGTGATCACAACCAATACAAGTGCAGTTTGAAGAGCACTTTTTGGCTTACTAAGCCAAAGCCTTCCCACAAAAAGTCAGACTGCAATTGTAGATGAGATTATCAAGGACTTGCCCAACATGCGGTCTGTTTAATGACTTCCTTGCCTCGCTGCATCACAAATTCACGATTGGCATTAAGTTTAGGGTCTGATTCCATCACAAATTCATGTTACCTAGTTGATGACAACAGAATACTATTCTAGTGTAATATCCATACCTTGCTATCTTCTGGTAAATAACAAGTAAAAGGCGCATGCCATGCACAATCGAGTCTTAACAAATGTAATGCAATTGTAGTTCTAATCAAATCCGAGTATATACCTGATTAACAAATGTTCGTTGGAAGGGACTTTTATCAGCATTAAACTGCAAAAACATAAAACAAAGGAAAAGAAATATGACAATCAGTAGATACCAAAATTAGAAAAAAAGGACTATATTGCATATTCATTTGAAGAACTTATGTATGTGTAGAGACCAGAAAATAAATAACCAATAATTTCAATGCTATCATAACATTGCTTATATCCAATACACAATCCAGGTGTTTCCCCAATAATAGTAAAAACAGAGCAGAGCAGAAACTGGGAACACACCATATAGTGCTGAAAACTACATTTTATGCTCTCCTTGTTACTATCACAGGAAAGTATGAATAGCCAAACACTACTTCATAAGCTAAACTAAAACAGTTTGGCATCATTAATGATTGTGGTTAGAATTTTCTTAAACATAACCAATTAAGGAGACGGAGGAAAGTTTTCAGCACTAAAAAAATAATTCATACCACAATAAAATAATTCAACTTGATGATGACAATATTAAAATTTAGGGTAAAGTACAAAAAACTACCTCAACTATTGGTGTCACGACACTTTCATACCTCATCTTCTAAAATTGGCAATGTCATACCTTATCTTACGAATTTGTGTCAATGTTATACCTTCCGTTAGCCTGCTGTTAATTTGTCAGTTAAATGTTGACGTGGCTTGATCCAGACCCCATTTTCTATTAAAAAAATTAATAAAATATTAAAAAAACTATTAAAAAAATCATTTAATATTTTTAAATATTAAAATAATAAATAAAAGTTAAAAAACAAAAAAAACAAAACCTTTCGTCTCTTCCACCCCCCCTCCCCCCTTCTCTCTCTCCCCATCTTCATCTTCTTCCCTACTTAATCTTCAACCAAAAAAAAAAAAAAACCAAAAAAAATTTGAAAACCCATCAACCCCCAACACCGCCCCAACCCCCCCCCCCCCCCCCCCCCCAAAAGAAGAAGAAGAAGGAAGGAAGGAAGGAGGAGAAAAAGAAAAAAAAAAAAAAAACTCAGATCCCGTTCGCCAAGCCGATTCCGTGAGTGGAGAACCTTGGCGTGGAGAAAAGGGGGGGAATGAGTGTGGATTTAAGGAGTGGGGTGTGTAGAAGAGGGAAGAGGATGGGTGCGAGGTTGGGCGTGGAGGGTGGGTGTAGGGGAAGACAATTGGTTTTTTTTTTTTTTTTTTTTTTTTTTTGGGTTGCAGTAGATAGGGGGAAGAAGAGGAAAGAAGATGAAGATGGGGGAGAAGAGAAAGGGCGTTTTTTTTTTTGGGGGGGGGGGGGTGGGGGGGGGAAGGGACAAAGTTTTGTGTATTTTTTTTTTCTTTCTTTTTCTTGGCTTGCAGCAGGTAGGAAGAAGATGAAAGGAGATGAAGATGGGGGTAGAAGAGAAAGGGCGTGCGGGGGGGGGGGGGGGGGGGGGGGAAGTTTTGTTTGTTTGTTTGTTTTTTTTTTCTTTTTTTTTCTGGGTTGTAGCAGATAGGGGGAAGAAGAGAAAAAAAGATGAAGATGGGGGAGGAGAGGGCACGTGCGGGGAGTGGGAGGGGGGGAAGGACAAAGTTTGTTTTTTGTTTTGTTTTTTTCTTTTTTCTGGGTTGCAGCAGGTAGGAAGAAGATGAAGGGAGATGAAGATGGGGAGAAGCGAGAGGACGTGCAGGGGGGAAGTTTTGTTTGGTTTTTTATTTTATTTTATTTTATTTTTTTATTTTTTTACTTATCTTCATTATTTTAATATTTTAAAAATATTAAATGATTTTTTTTTAGTTTTTAATAATATTTTATTAACTTTTTTTAATAGAAAGTGGGTCCCGAATCAAGCCACGGTAGCATTTAACTGTTAAATTAATAGAAAAACTGACGGATGTATGACATTGACACAAATTCGTAAGGTGAGGTATGACATTGTCATTTTAAAATGATGAATTATGAAAGTGTCATGAGACCAATAGTTGACGTAGTTTTTTGTACTTTACCCTAAAATTTAACTTGAAATAAAGTTTAACATTAAAAATCAGCATAAGGTTTAGGACACTTACTTTGCATCATTCAAGTTTCAAACTTTTGCCTTTCCCTTTCCTTTTTCACACTTACAAGCCGAAGGTTTAGGAGGTCTTTGAACTTGTGAACGGGCTTGAGAAGCCGAAACTTGGGAAGACCTTGCACGTTGTAAATTTGAAAATAATGGATGGGAAGCCATTGATCCTTGTGAACTAGAACTTTTTGATTGACTTGGAGCTTGTTGTGATTGTGGATTAAGAGTAAGAGAGGCGAGAGTTGAGGTTGATTTGGCGAACTCTACATAATACAAAATATAAACAATATAAATCACATTAGTTATTAGAAACTTTAAAAAACCTACAAAAGAACAAAATATATTGAAAAAGAAAACTAAGAAAGTCCTTTAACTTGAAATGATATACTTACCCAATTCAATACTTTCTTAGAACTCAATGTGCTCAACTAAAGGTGCATCATTCTCCAAAGTAATAATGTTTTCGCCCCTCAACCAATTTTGCATGCATATCAAGGCCTATACCGATTTAGGAGTTAAAGAACTCCTAAAATTTGAAATTATTCGACCCCTGGTGCTAAAAGCACTCTCGGAGGCCACAGTAAAGACTTGAATAGCAAGAATATCTTTTGCAATGGCGGCCAAGATAGGATTGTAAACACAAAAAATTCCTGAAAACAAGAGACAAGAATATGTGTACAAAATAATATTTTTGTGTTTAATGATTTTGGGGTTACGATCTCTCAAATTTGGTCCTCTGATTCGATCTCCGTAAGATGTAGATTTGTTGATCCAAGGGCCGTCGAGGCTTGATCTTGGATGAACAGTTGTAAGTTTCTTCAAGGGACTTCGTGGCTTTGATCTTGAAGGTTGATGGAAGTTTCTTCAAGGGCCTTCAGGGCTTGATCTTGAATGTTGATGGATGAGCGGATCTTCAAGGGCTTTTGGGCTTGATCTTGAAGAACGGTTGGTTTTCTTCAAGGGCCGTTGAGGCTTAATCTTAAATGAACAGTTGGTTTTCTTCAAGGGCTTTTGGGCTTGATCTTGAAGAGTAGATGTGTGGATTTGTTTGTTGATCCAAGGGGCCGTTGGGGCTTGATCTAAGGATGAACAGTTGATGAATGGATCTTCAAGGGGCGTTGGGCTTGATCTTGAAGAATGGGTGTATGGGTTTGTTGAGGTTGTTGATCCAAAGGCCCGTTGGGGCTTGATCTTAGGATGAATGGATGATGAATGATGAACACTTTCTTCAAGGAGCCATCGGGGCTTGATCTTAGGATGAATGGATGATGAATGATGAACACTTTCTTCAAGGAGCCGTCGGGGCTTGATCTTGAGCTGGTGGGAGTTCTTCAAGGGCCGTTGGGGCTTGATCTTGAAGGAGGATTTGACGAAGAACGAAGAGTGCTTTCTTGATCCTTCGGGATTTTCTTGAGAGCTTTAGAACTTTAAGGCTTCAAGGTTTTTTGGTGTGTGTTGTGGATGAGTTGTTGATCCAAAGGGCCGTCGGGGCTTAATCTAAGGATGAACAGTTGATGAATAGATCTTCAAAGGGCGTTGGGCTTGATCTTGAAGAATGGGTGTATGGGTTTGTTGAGGTTGTTGATCCAAAGGCCCGTTGGGGCTTGATCTTAGGATGAATGGATGATGAATGATGAACACTTTCTTCAAGGGCCGTCGAGGCTTGATCTTGAGTTGGTGGGAGTTCTTTAAGGGCCGTTGGGGCTTGATCTTGAAGGAGGATTTGACGAAGAAGGAAGAGTGCTTTCTTGATCCTTCGGGATTTTCTTGAGAGCTTTAGAACTTTAAGGCTTCAAGGTTTTTTTTGGATGTGTGGGGAGTATTCTCTTCCATTTTGGGAGTAGAGAAATGTATTTGTGAATTGGTTTCCCATTCCTCTTGATGGAGAAGCCTATTTATAGGCTTTGAGAGTGAATCACCACCATTCATTTTTTTGGTGAAGTGAGTGGAGGTTGTAGATGAAGTAAGTGGATGATGTAGGTGAAATGAGTGGAGGTTGTTGGTGAAGTGAGGGAATGACATAGGTGAAATAAGTGTTGTATTGGTTAACATTTATTTCACAGAAATTTCGATGTCTATAAGGATACTTAGACGTGGCAAAGGCCTTCTTAAACTTCAAAGCTACATGCAACATAACGAATATAGAATTCCACCGAGTAGGACAATCAAGGCAAACCATTGCTTTGCATGTCAAGTTCACCAAATTCACAGCTTGCCTAAAAAACTCCAATCTTTGTGGAGAGCTCCTCACAAACCTCACACAATTTCGTATAGCTAAAAGACCATTCTTTAGCCTCTTCATCCCATGACTCACAATTATGTTGATTACGTGAGCAATGCATCGTACATTTAAATACTTGCCACTTAAAATAGCTTGTGAATTTTCCCACCTATTCATTTTTGCCATAAGTTGATCCAAAGCAACTTTATTTGTGGAAGCATTGTCCATTGTGATTGTCATAACTCTATCTATCCCCCATTCCAACAAACAATTTTCAATTAACTTTGCAATTGTGGTTCCATAGTTGTTAGGAATAATACAAAAGTTTATGATCCTCTTATGCATATTCCATTCATCATCAATGAAGTGTGCGGTAAGAACCATTTAATTGTAATTTTGTGTGCTTGTCCAAGTGTCGGTGGTGAGACAAATTCTGTACCCACTTAAGTTTTTCTTCAAAGAAGTCTTCCATTCTTCATACATGTTGAGAAAAGCTCTAACAAGTGTTCTTCTAGAAGGCACATTAAATAGTAGAATACCAACAGCACAAAAAAGCCGAAACCCCATCTTATCAACGGTACTAAATGGCATCTCATCTATGACCACCTTCTTGACACATGTTTTTAATATATTAGCTTGTGAAAAGCCAACAATGGCTACATTGTTATCTTTACTCTTATCCCCAACTCTTATTCCCAACCAACACTTTTTTCTTTTTACATTTGTTCCCCTGATAAAATCTACAATATTTTTCAATGTGGTGTTTCATAGTTGAGGTGCCATTTACTCTCGATTCAGCTGCATGGTCACCATCATTGCTTTTTTTGGGCAATAATTAGACTTAGCTCTCCTAAGTTTTTTATCCACCCAAACTTCCTCCCCCTTATCATTGATTGTTTTCACTTTTTTCGTCACATAGTATGTTGTAAAATGCTCCCAAACCCAACTACGCTTTCTTGAATTAGAGTTACTTACTTGTGCATCATCTTCACCTTTAGATTCATTTCCATCTTTTTTTGGGTCACCTTCAACATTTCCTTCATTTTCTAGATCAATTTCTATTGCCTCATCCTCCAGCTTCTCAGGGGAGTCACTTGTCAAAAAGAGAGCAACCCAACTATGTTTGCTGGATTCTTCAAATCTTGACTGAAACATAAAAGAAAAGTAAGCAACAACAACAATTAACAACAGTTAAAAGAAATATTTAACAACAATTAACAACGTTTGCATATTCTTAGATGTAGCATATTCAATAAGTTGGAGACGATCAAGTACTGCAAATTAATCTGTAAGTCAATAAATTTAAATTTGCTCTTCCAACTCCATCAGCAGTGTTGGGACTCCTTATTGGACAGCATATAAGTTACAGGTTTGGTTCATTTTTATGATCCAAATCCATTTTTTTTTTCTATTAAACAAGTCATGCTTAGTTTCAACATGTTTGATACTTCTATAATTCTTGTATGCTTGACTTTTGCTATCATGATAGTTTCTTATAAGTTTGTAACTCATTGGTTTTTCATACAGAGGAAAAGACAACCTTAATGAAGACGTCGTCAAACTATATACCCCAACAAGTTTTGATTAAGATGTTGGATACTTTAAATTAGTCATAAATGTTTGTTTTCTTTTTAAAATTTCTTATGAATCACTTATCCTGCTTGGCCTATGTCATATGGTTTGATAACTTTTTAATTCTTTTTTTATTGTATGGGTAGATGTATCCACAAGGAAGGATGTCTCACCACTTCTAGTGATGTGCGAAGGTGATTATCTAGCTGTGAAAGGACCTAAGGTAGATCTTTTCCTATCAATTAAGAGTCCATATCAACTAAAAAGGAACAAAGACGACAAAGCTATAGAACAAAAAAAAAAAAAAAAAAAAAAAAAGCATTAAAACCCTTTCGTTCAACAACATTTTCAGTCTTCCATGTCACCCTGGGATAATCAGGATGCAGTTTTAGCCTTTTAGGACCAAGGTTAAAGACTCTAGGTAAAAATACAAATTTTCTACGAAATTTTGAATCATTCAAGATGTTAACTAGTACCTCCCTACAATATGCAAATATCATATATGCTTTCAATTGACATTCTAATGTTCTTGAATGAAGAGAAATCGAAGACTAACCAACGAAAAACCAAATCCCCTTTTGATTCAAAACACAACCCTAAAATTAACCTCAAATCTATAAGTAAATTTAACTAAAACAAGTTATAAATCATAGTTCTTACCATATTAGCACTCTGAAATTTAGAAGCTAGGAGTTGGAAAGCCTGGAATGAAGAGGAAAGGAGGCTAAAGGGGAGAGAGAGAAAGAGAGTGTTTGGAACTGGAAGAGTGCAGCCGCTACAGTGCAGGAGACAGATGAATAAACTTGAGAAAGAGAACATAAAGTCTTAGTCCACGGACTAGAAGAAAGAAAATAAAGGGTTATGCTATGTGGCCATGTTATGATGTGGTTGAGTCCATACTAAATGTATGGACTCAATGGAAATAACCTATTAGAATTTAACATTTAATAAAGGTATGCAGTTTCGGTTAGGTTGCGGAGGGCCAAAACCAAACCATTTTCCCCCTATTAGGTTCAGTTTCAAACCGAAACCGTTTTGAAACCGCAAAACCAAACGTTCGGTTCGGTTCGATTGGTTCGTGTTTCAGTTGCGGTTTTCAGTTTCAAGTGCCCACCCCTAGATATTGATCGTGCCTTCGTGGATATATCGGTTTGATCATTGGGCTTCGGTCATGGACTTATCATCAAAGGCCGAACTCGCATGCCTATAGTTTTAAATAAAAATTGTTTGTTCCCATCATCTTCAATCCTTGAGTTAAACATAAATTTAGGTTTTAAATTAACTTAGTCATTCTTTAATGGTTGGGGCGAAAATAAATTTTGGGTTAAAACCTAAAATTTGGGCAAATTTTGCCCAAAAGTCAAGTTAAGGTTAAAAGGTTGACCCACCTTAGTTTTTATTTTTAAAATTTTAAATACATTAAATCCAAATGCTGCGATCGAATTTGATCAAATCTAACCTTTAAATAAAAACAATCTACTAGCCCAAAATTAAATCCAACAGCGAAAATAATTAAAAATTTTATTTAAATCAAAATTCTTCTTAAAACTCTATAAATAATATTTCATGAGGTCGATTTAGTGAATTTTCAACTTTTATTGGAATCTAAATATTTTTAAGTTAAAATGTTCATAAAAGTAAATTGTGATAAACTGCTAAAGTTTCTTTAAAAAATGTTACCAAAACTGCATAATATTTCATGAGGTCGGTTTAACTGCTATTGGCCCAACATCCCCTCTAAACTACTTATCTCCTCAATAACCTATTTACTTGGACCATTGACTTCCATGGACTTCAGAAACTGTTGCTCTTGGATTACGACTTCTTCTGTCGTCAATTCTTCGATGTACATCTCAATCAGTTTATCTTTTGGAACAAAATTGCACATGGACTAAACATTGAAATCACTTTGAATCAGCTTCAAACCATTGGAAAGGTCCATGTTGGGAATCTTGTAATAGTAGTTTATGAACCGCTCATTGTATCCAACTGTTTCCACCATATCATCTAACACTGACAGTGACATGAAGTCTTTATCACAATTATCTATATATGTCGCTTTTCCCCCAAATGTAGAGGTCATAACTTATCTCCCCACCGTGATGCAATTCAATAGAGAATAGTTCTAGATATACTGAAATTTAAAAAAACAAAAGCAATTGCATTTTAACCTAACAACATTCCATATGCATCTAATGCACAACATTCCATATGCAACTAATTGCATTTAAAAAGCCAACAACAAAAACCAATGCACAACATTCTATGTGCAACTATATGAAATTGCAACAAACCACAACAAACCACCTTATCTTCACAAGAATAAACAAAGCAAGAAAGCAACAAACCCATTATCCAACAACTCAGTAACCATTTCTAATTAAGAAAGCATAAACCACCCTTTCAAACAAGAATAAACAATGATACAAGAATAAACAAAACCCACATTCAACCCATTCCAACACCCAGGAACCATTTCGAATTAACAAAGCATAAATCTACCTTTTCAAACAAGAATAAACAATGCTACACAAATAAACAAAACCCACATTCAACCCATTCCAACACCCCTGGAACCATTTTGAATTCACAAAGCATGAATCCACCTTTTCAAACAAGAATAAACAAAACCCACATTCAACCCATTCCAAATAATAAGTTCAGTATGCATTTGGAATAATCAAAAGCACAAAAAAAAAAAACTTACAATAGGTAGGCGTCGTTTCATCGGGATCGTCACGCATGTACCACCCAAAGCCGATGAAACCCCCACTCAACACCAACAAAGTCACAGAAGTGAGTCGACAAGATGATTTGGGTTTTTCGCTGAATTTCTAATCTCATTGTTCGAGATTTGGAGCCGCGAGAACTAGGGTTAGGGTTCTTGTTTTCCTAGAATTGGGAATGCAATTAGATCAACAGGATTTGGGTGTATCGAGGGGGGGGGGGGTGGAACCAATTTGAAAGGCACACTTTACAACGTTCCCTTACCTTTTTAAACTTTTTAAATTTTTATTTAAATTATTTTTTTAATTTTAAAGGAATATCCACGTGTCGTCCTGTGAGAAAGCCATGTGTATTGGGAATCTTAGCTGGATGCCATTTGACGGGAAAACATTGCGTGGGCCCCGTATCAAGCTAGGTCAGCATTTAATTGAGAAATTCACGGCCAAGCTAACGGAGGTATAACATTGGACCAAATTCTAAATATGAGATATGACATTGTTAATTTTAAAAGATAAGGTATGATACTGTCTTGACCCAAAATAGTTGAGATAGTTTTTTGTTATTTACCCAATTATTTAATAATTTTGGGCTAAAACTTTAAACCATAACCATTGGAGCATAAAAGTTGTTTCCGGATTAAAAATTTAGTTTTTGACCCCAACCATGAGAGTTGATCTTAATAGGCCTAATTTTTGTTTATGGCCCAAACATGGTCTTTTGTATTATATTATTGGTTACCTAATTTATGATAAAAGAACCACATTGATATGCGACATCTAATTTTAAAGACTACATTGATCGATTTTTAATTTTCAAAGCTATTTGTGATAAAATTCTAAATTAAAAGCATTGTCACAACACACAAATTTATTTATTTTTGGTCAATAAATGATTCATTGAAAAAGGAGGCAAAGCTCCAAAGCAGTTACGTGAACCAAAGCAACACGAAGCTGAGGCCAAGAAAAAGATAAGGCAGAGGAAAAGAAGATGACAGTCCACCCCATGGTCAGGGGAAGGTTAAATAGGACTTGAAGCGAAGCTTTAGTTGCCTCCTTGAACATGAAAACCCAAGGGAACCTAATGAGGGCAAGGTAGACCGTCGATAGATAGGATATGGGCAAGAGCAAATGATAGTTTGGTCACCCAAACTTCTAGACACATCTTTCTTTTACATTACGATGCAACCCATTCAGCTGCAAAATTCGCTTAGCGAGGGATCCAGGACCACTTTAGGAACTGGAACTCACAACACACTTCAATTAAAACTTAAAAAAAGTATACTTTGTGTGTAATTTCCTTTTTTTCATTGGTTTGTGGTTCAATTAACAAATAATAAAAGTCCATCTCAAAAAAAAAACAATGAGAATGGAAACAGCCAAAAAAAGAAACGGTCCAGAAGAAAATTCCAATAAGTCCTTTTTCAACAAAAAGAAAAGAAAAAAATTCACGAAACTCCTTGTCCTCTTACCATGTACACGTGTACCAAACCCTGCTCTAATAGCCAACAGATCTCAAGCCACACGACATAAGGATTCCTGTGGTCCCCATCAGAATCCCAACAAAGTACAACGGTCAACAATATTCAGCCCTCTTCCAATTTCCGTCTTCCCTCTCCTCTGTAGAAAAAAAGAAAAATGGAGCCTCTCTGCCCAAACATGGATCTCAAACCAGCATCCTTCCCACCAATTTCAGCAAGATTCGCGAAAACCATTTCACTTTCACTGCACTCTCATCGGTTTTCGTGCTCGGATCGCCGGGTGGCTAAGAAATGGAGGGTGTCTGTTGTCCATGCAAACTCTGAAGCCAAGTTTTCGAGTCAGGAGTTGGTGAGGACAATTGGGAAAGGGTTGCTTTCATTTGCCGCTGCCGTTGCTGCAAATTATGCTGTTGTTTGTTTTAACTATCCGGCGATGGCGGAGTCTCTGACGGTGGCTTTTCCGGCGTCAC